ACCTAAGGGGCCTCCTCGGCATAATTCAGACCCACCCCTCAATAAGTCTCCCACACCGGTCACAAGGAGAACTTTATTGATTACAGGGGTGTGGTGGAAACAGGGTAAAAGGTAGAGCAGTATCATGGAAATATCAGAGGGATCCCATAGAGCAAACCAGGGTGGCTGAGGTAGCCGTTTGATCTCGCATCTGAGTTACTGTAAGCTAAATATCTAGTCTAGTCTCGAGTAGGTTACTCACTCGCATCGTCCAGAGGTGGCTGGAGTTTCCTCCGGAGGCAGGGCACTCTGAGCATGCGGTGATGAGGAGAGAGCCCGGTTCAGATGGTGAAGCTCCTCTCCCAGGTTCAGATTCACCTGGATGACCGCATGACTAAAGGCTCCTTCTTCCTGGCCCGGGCCTTTGAATAACCTCCCTGACCTCAGCTGCCCGGTCCAATCGAAGCTGCCAGTGCTGGCCACAAGCCGACCAATTTAAAAAGCATCACTGGCTACCTGGGCCGGTGAGCGGGGCCTCCCCCCGCACCAGAGCATCTGCCTCCCAGGCCCCAGGCTTTTGTCATGTAGACAGGGGGAAGATCCCCGCCCCGAGGGATTCAACACCAGCCTCCCAGGCTGGCAGAGTCAGATGTCTGGAGAGGGGCACCGACGGTGGCGTTTCTGCCACAGGGACCACTTAAATTTCCTAGAAGCGGTGATGCTTGGGGGTACCCCAGTGACAACAGCTGTCCGGCATACAACGGCTATGTTTGCGTGCCGTGGCGTCCCAAGAGCTGGAATTACTGGCGATGGGCTGCAGTTCAAACCAAGGGATTTTGAGGCTTTGCTCAAGTGTATCACTAGCGTCGTGAGACCGTCCACCCCCAAACCTCCTCAGTGCAACGGACTGGCACAACGTGAAGAACCTGCTTAACAAAGCGAGGGGGGAAGACGATGTCTGCTTGGCACCACCCCGCGACGGCCCTGCGATGCGGAGAGTCGCACACGGGACTTCACTACAACATGAGTATAGAAACTCAGCTCCCTGACACGGGTCCAAAATGAAGGATGCCAAATCATCCGGGATGATGCGGGAAGGACCGGGCAAGCACCGTCAGATGCAGAGTTGCCGCAAAGGGGTAAGACCTCTGCCACCGTCGAGTGTGATGCAGCGCAAGCTTGGCCAGATGGACGCTGGCCGGTTAAAGCTATGCTAGCCAAAAAGGAGGCACCTTGATAACAAATGAAGGCCAAATGTGAAGAAGGCGTCACAAGCATCTGCTCAAAATCCCTGACAATGATGTGAACAAAACTGGAAGATTGACACCGGCTGACGCTCTTTACAAGACCCACAACCTGACCGTGGGGACATCGAAATATGGGCAAGGATAAAGGGGGCTGGTGATATCCAGTTAAGCTGGAAGATTGCTGACCTGGCCAAAGAGATCGATGGGGACATGGCAGTCCGAGTCTGCGGGGGTGGCTGCTGTCCGAAAAGCATTCGTTCAGTCACCCAAGGAACCTCGTCTGCCTTCGTTCAGTGTGGCACTTTGTAAAAAGGGGAAGGCGTGACACGGGGAAGGTGCTCCCGGGAGGCTGGCTGGGGCTGGCGTGGCAGACCCCTGACCATGGCGAGACCATTGCCTCTGCACTGCGTGTCGCTCTGTATGGATGTTCCTGGATAAAACAGCCATTGCAGACCTCCAGCCTCATCAAGTCTCTCGCCCCCCGGCCCAGGCTGCAGCAAACGGGGATGGCCCTGCACCCGTCCCAGCCGGGCAGGTCTGCTGGGGACATCCCTGGGGCCCATGCTGGTATTGGATCAGGGTGCTTTTAATTCTTGCCGGACCCCGCAGCACTCTGGGGTCCCGGTCTCGAGATGCAAATGCAGCTCAAGCGATGCATTCAGACAGCTCTTCCAGGGCCCCTTGCAGCACGGACGGCCCCAGGGGGTGGTGTCCACGTGGGCACCCCACGTGCAGGGAGCGGTGGGGGCTTTGCACTGGGGCAGGGGCTGTCCCCGCGGACAGGGAGCCCCCAAGGGTTTCAGAGCTGGGTTTTAAGTTCAATTATTTAAATACATAAAGGTTAAATTGAGAGGGGCAGTGGTGGGAGGGAGCTGGTGCCTCGGTGCCCGCTCGCTCCCCTGGCCAGGATGCCTAGCGACTCCATAGCGGGGCCAGGCCTGGACCCGCCGCATCGTGCCAGCATCTCCGACGTGTGGGGGGTTACCTGCTGTGTCCACGTCAGGACTAGTCCCGTTGGGCACCTTTTTCCTGCGCTTTCCCGGTGGCTTGGTCTTGGCCAGGCGAGAATCGTTCTCCTCGGGCTCTGCTGGAGGAAGTGGAGGGCAAAAGCATCGGATGTTTGCCCCGTGCTGCACCCTGCCCCCCTTCCCCGCTCCCCCTCCCAAAAGCTGATCACCGGGAGAGAAGGGCCTGGCCTTTGGGGCTTTATCAAGCCAGGAGCACAACTGCTAAGCCTCTAAATAAAAGCAGGGCTTGGGGAGACGTGATTGCAGGCGCAACGCTCAAATCCGGACCAGCGATTGCATCCGTAGCATGAACCGGCCAGCCCCAGCCCCCTGAGGGCTCAGCCGCAGCGGGCTGAGAAGAGCTACAGAAAGGTCAATGGGCAACCCGGTGGCACGTGAAATCCAGTGCTAAAAAGTGCAAAGTGATGCACGTGGGGTGGGAAATAACCTCAGATGGATGTACCCGATGCTGGGCTCTACGGGAACAGTTACTGCACAGGGAAGAGCTCTGGGAGGCATCATGGACCCTTGGCTAAAGCCATCAGCTCGGCGTTGGGCAGCCGGCAGGCGCGGGGGGAGTTGCCCAGGAGGGAATTGCAAACAAAACGGAAACTCTCATTCTCCCCCTTCGTAAATCCCTGGTGCAGCCGCCCCCCGGATACTGTGCGCGGCTTGGGTCCCCGCCCCTCAAAACGAGGACAGAAGAGCTGGGAAAGGTGCACGGAAAGGGGTTGGACCAGGTCTTGGAGGGAAGGCTGAATGCGGTCCATGGAGGGTCCAGGGGACGAGCTGCATGGAAAGGGATGGAGCCTTGCCCAGTCTCTCTCGGGGCACGAGGACTAGCCCGGCGCCCGGTCACGGAAACCCTTTGCAGGGGGGCGCGAAACAGAGAACACCTTATCCTAACCCAAAAGCAGAAAACCTCCCTGCTTGCACCCCCTGAGCTCTCCCGGCAGCCTCAAACCTACCTGCCCCAAACCTCCTGACCTACCTGCCCCAAACCTACCCTGAAGAAGTTGGGAAAACTCTTGACTTGGGACCAGCTGGAGAGAGGGAGCGGGGCGGCCAGGCTGGGGCTGACCTCGGTGCCCCAGGGCTGCTGTGCTTGGACCGGGCAGTCCTGGGGTGCCCCTGAACACAGCTCCCCGGTGGCAAAGCAGCAGGGAAACTGCCTTCAAATGTGGGCAGGGTCACAGGGCAAAATAAGCCGAGAAGGTGAGAGCCTGGAGCAGGATAAGCGTCCGCCCCTGGGTTGTGCGCACAGGTCTCCTCCCGTAGGAGTCTGCTGCAAAGAGGATGGTGTGGAAAGTCGTATGCATGCAAAAATATGACATGCAAATAGCATGGCCTGCAAAAACTGAGGGGTCTTTGCATGTGAGGGGGCAACGAGAAGGGATGGGGAGTAGGGGAATGTGGATGTGAAGAGCACATGGGAAGGTCGGGCTGGCAGGGTCCTCAGGGCCCACGTCTAGGCAGGATCAGCCCGGCCACGTCTCTGTCCCGCTTGCTCCTGAAAATTTCCAGCGGTGGAAATGCCAGAGCCTCCTTGGGCAGCCTGTTCCCGAGCTCGGCCCCCCTCGGAGCGGGGAAGTCCTTCCTCGCCTCCGTCCTCTGCCTCCCTGCTGCAGCTTGAGGCCCCTGCGCCTAGTCCCGTCCCCTCTGCCCGTCTGCATCCCCTCTGTCACCCCAGTTTGGGTATTGGAGGTCTGCGATCAAATCCCCCCTCGCTCTTCTCTTGTCCGGACTAAATAACCTCAGCTCGCCCAGCTTGTCCTCGCGTTTCCGTGCACGGACCACCAGCATCCCACCCCCCTCCACAAAAGGGCACAGGGGAGGGCAAGGAAGCCCCCCCGTGACCTGTCTGAGCTTCGGGGCGGCCTGTCACCAGGGTCTCTGGGCTGCTCTCAGTGCCAGGTGCAATGCCAGTGCCCTGCTAGCTTTCGCCTTGCCCGGGGGACTGCTCCCTGCAGCCTGGCCCGCGAGCGGTGGAGGGCAGGTTTTGCACCCACGGATCTGCCCGTTAGCCCCTGGGTGCCGGGGGAGGGCAAGTGACTCTTCCCAGGCCAGGTCCCCGGCCCGGACACTGGACCCAGGCGCTCTTTGAGGCTCCCCAGGGTGGGGGGTCCCAGATGGTTTCCAGGTGCGGCAGCCGGGGGCCGGTGCAGAGCACCCCGGGGGCCGGAGCCCTGGCAGGGACGTCGGCTGGCCGCAGCTCCTTGCACCGCGAGGATCCCTTGGAGCCAGCAAACATCTGGCCTTGTTTTATAGCCCCCGTCTGCTCCCGGACACTGCGTGTGGTGCTGGAAACGCTCGCCCTCGCTGCACGCCACCCCTCGCTCCAGCACCGGGGGCCGGGGAGCACAGCACCCTGGGGTCCGCAGCCAGACAGCCGCGTGCAGCCCCGAGCGCGGGGGGTCTGCAGCTGGAGTCCCGCGTCCCCCTCCAGCCCGAAGCGGGAGCAGGAGGCAGGTCCCGCTGGGCGTCAGGAAACCTTACCTCGAGCCCCGGCACAGTGCAGCGCAGCCAGGAACAGCAGGGCAGGCGCCAGGGCCCCCATCTCGCCTGCCCCGGGGTCTCGGCGCACGGCGCAGGACAGGTCCCACCCGTGGCCTGGCCTGGCCTCGTCTCCCCTTCCTCGGCCCGGCTCCGTGCGGTCCCGCAGCAGGTTGATGGGGAACTGGAAAGTCCCAGGCACTGCAGGTCTATATAGGAGGCCTTTCCCTGGCTCGCTCCCCCATTGGTTTGTGCCGGGAGCCGCCAGAAATAGGACGGGAGCTGTTGGGGTTTGGGCTGGAGGGATGTCAAGAGGAAAAGCAGCCCAGCTGGGAGGCGAGGCGAGGCGAGGCGAGGCGCTGCCCCGCGCGGGGGAGGGGGGAGCCGTGTTTGTGCAAAGCTGCTAAACTTGGATGCGCTCGGGAATGCGGAGGAGAGGAGGGGAGAGCCTGCCATGAGCTCGCGGTGCCGGTGCCAGGCTGGCTCCGGGGAAGCGCCGCAGGAAGGGGGTCGGGCGCTCGGGAGCAACCCCAGCCCCGCTCCTTTGTCAGCAGAGGGGACGGCTCCAGCGGCAGCTGGAGGGGCGCGGGATCTGGCCCCGGGGGTGCTCAGCACGACCTGGCTGGCAGACCACCCCTTCCCCCTTTCTAAGGCTGGAGTCTTTCCGGGTCTCAGATTATTTCAGCGTCCAGCAATGCATGTCCTGTGTGAGTTAGAGCCGCCCAGGGGCTGCTCTCGCTTGTGCCGTCCGTGTCCGGCCTGTCGGGCCCCGGAGCCCAGCTCTGCCACCCCAGGCTGGGGCAACCCCATGTCCTCGCACCCCCAGCCAGGAGTTTTCTAACCCATCACAGGGTGAGGAAAGGGCAGAGACCTGCTTGCACGGGGCTGGAAGCGCTAGCAATGCGCTGTCTGGCAGGCCGCGTCTGGCACTCGCCCCCCGCCACCTCCAAGGACCCAATGAACACCCCACACCGGGCAGACGGTGCCAGGCCCTCTTTATTTGCGTGTGAGCGACAGCTCGAGCACTCGTGGGCCTGACGGCGCGGTCCCCGGAGGCCGACCCTCTGCAAGCAGGCGGCTCAGCTCCCTCCCGGGGATGGGCACTGCCCTGCCTGCTCGAGAAGGGTGGCCCCCGCCTCTCAGCGTCCTGCTCCCCGCCCTGCCGCCCCGGCATGCCGGACCCCAGCCAGCAAGGTGCCACGGCGGAGAGCGGAGGCGAAGTCATCGGCACCGATTTGAAAAGCTGCCACCGAGCTGCAGGGCCGGGGGGGCCCGGGCAAGTGGCAGCTGCTCCTGTCCTCCCCTCTCCCCCCTGCCCCAGCTCCTCCAGCTACAGCAGCGGGGACTCGCCCCATGGACAGCACCGACCTGCACGCACGGCGCGGGGAAATGGGCGGCCTGACCCGGAGGGCCCTGGGCTGAGCTGGGCTTGGGGAGGGTTGTGCCAGGCCCACGGTGCCGGTGGGTCACGCTGTGAGCTGGGCAGATGCCTGCCTGCTCCTTCCGCGTCCCTGATGCCACCCCGAAGCATCTCCCTAAAGGGAGACCACGCACTCGGTGCCCGGGTACTCGGGCAGGTTGAGCTCGAACTTCTTCTGGACGTCGTAGGGGAGGAAGCGGCCGGCCACGAAGTGGTGCCGGCCCAGGAAGCGGGCGGCGCACAGCTTGGGCGCGGCCAGCGACACCAGCACGTCGGGGCTGATGCCCTCGCTGCTCCCGGACTCCGCGTCCCAGCCTGCGGCAGCAAGAGAGAGGAGGCGTCAGGGAGGAGGGGACACGCCCGGGACGCAGCGCGGCTCCTGGCTCCCTGGCCCCGACCCTGCGCGCCCCTGCCTCGCCATGACAAGTCTCTGGGGCTCCAGCCCTGGTGCCAAGCGCCCCGGCGATCGAATGCTGAGCTCTGGCTGGGTTTGCCAGGACCAGGGTGGTGCCCCCAAAATGCGGCTGCTTCTCGGGTGGGACTTGGCAGCTCCGGAGCAACACCTCCACGGGGGAAGGAGGGGGCATTTACACCGGGGCCGGGGTGGGTTCCTCCTGTTTGCTCTTCCCGGGGCCGGGGTGGGTTCCTTCGGTGCACGCTGATGGCAATCCCAGGCCTGGCCCCAGACACCGATGTGTTTTTAAATGACATCATGTCTCGGTTCGGGGAGCGTGTTATTTATTAGCAGTGCCCTGAACGTGTCCTGAGACGGCTACTGTCCCCGGGAGAGGCAAGGGGCAGCAGCTGGTGGCGATGGGGGGACTGGCCCTGGGTGGAGGGCCCTCAAGCCCAGGTGGCAGGGGGCAAGGAGGGAGGCCTTAACCATGTCAGAGCCAAGCGCCAGTGCTGCTTTCGACTTGCCCCGTCGCGCAGGGCTGGCCGGTGCGGCGAGGACCTGCCCTTGTGCCCTCCCGGGGGGCCTGACCTGAGGGCACGTCCAGGCTGACGATGGGGATGCGGATCTGCTTCAGGGTGGCCAGGATGCCGGTGTAGGGCTCCTTCATCTCCCCCGGCTCGGCGTCCACGCCCAGGATGGCGTCGATCACCACGTTGTAAGCATCGTTGATCAGCTGGACCTGGAGGGGGCGAGACCCCGTCAGCCGCCCTGTACCCCCGCATCCGTCGGAGCCCAGCCCGCGGGCACCGCCTCGGCCCCTGGCCCTGCACCCCAGCGCCGCGTGCTGCTCCCCTGGGCACCCCGCGTCGTGGGCTGGGCTGGGAGGGGGGTCCGAATAACACCCCAGGCACCCCGGGTGCTGGGAGCATTCACCAAGTCCACAGCACAGGTTTTCTTAAAATATATCTCGTATTCCAGGTCAAATTTAGCCAAAGCCACTTCACATTGTCTCGATTTGAGCAGAAGTTCAATTGTTCCAACAACCCCCTCGACGGAGCAGGCGGCGCTCAGTCCTCCCAAGCCCCGTGCGCGGCGCTGCAGCCGGCGAGCATCCTCCACCCCGACCCTCACCCTGGGACTGCAGATGCTCCCGCACCCATTGCCAGGCAACCTACGTGCAGCCCCAAGCCCGGAGGTGCCCCCCGAGACTACAGGCGAGCATCCTCCATCCCAGACTCTTTATTGTGGGACTTCAGAGACTCCCCGGACCGGATTTTAGCCCACGGGTGCTACTACCAGCCACCTGCCAGCAAACACAAGCAGCGAGCCGGCAACAGCAGGGACGCTCGCATGCCCGTTGCCTCTCGGCACAGCGGGCACAGGGGGAGGCGACAGGAGGAGAGCACGTGGTTGTAGCTCGTGCACGGCCGGCCGGCAAGGGGAACGGAGCACGAGCTCCCATCTCGGCCCGCTGGGGTTGTCTTCCAGCGGCCTCCTGCGAGGGCTCTTGCTCAGGCCAGAGGCAGGCCCTGGAGGGGCAGGTGTCTTCTCCCACGGGAAGCTGCAGCCGAAGCAGCTCGTGCCCAGGCCACGCCAGGCAGCGGCTGCAGCGGTGGAGGGTAGCAAGGGTCTGCCCTCGAGGCACGTCCGTCCCGAGCCCTCCGGCCAGCACCACCGGGCGCATTGCTCGCAGCCCGGCGTGTTTGATCTCCGCCTCGCAGAGTCTCCGCGGGGCGCGGTGCCAGGGCTCGCTCCGACGCTGGGCTCGGGGAACAAAAGGCTTTTCAAGCCTGGCCCGCGAGCTGCGGTGCGCCGGAGCCGGCCGGGACAGTGAGCTGAGGTCACATTCCTCCGAGGAAGGCCAAGGTTTCCACCGAAAAGAGAGGAGGGGGTGGCCGGGCCCCCGCGGGGTGGCAGCCGCGGGAATGCCTTTTGCAGGGCCCAGCCCGCCGGGTGTACTCCCTGTGGGGGGCCGGAGCCGATGACGCGCTCGGCTTGGACTGCTTGGAATCCTGCTGCTCGGATCCGATGCCCGGAAAAAAGCCATCAGCCTTCACACCCCGAGCCCAAATGCAGCCCCCGGCGCCCCCCGCCCGCGCCCAGGGGAGTCCGGCCTCCAGGAGCGGCACCGTTTGCAGGCAGAGCACTGCCTGACCCGAGCCCCTGCCCCGCTTCGATGCTGATGCTCGAGCTTGAAACCCCTGCCCCGCAAAGCACCCGAGACCTGCTGAGCCCCGGCCTGGCCCGGCCCCGGCTCCTGTGGCTGGACGTGAGAGTCTGGACGAGGCCGGTCTCCCCGTGGGGGTGGCAGGGGAGCGAGCTGCGCCCACCTGCGCGCCACGGCACCGCTCACCTCGGTCGGCAGGTAGGACAGGAAGGGGATGTCCATTTTCTGACACTGGGTGGTGAAGTCCTGGTACACGGGGGTCGGGGACCGCTTGGGGTAGAAGATGGTCGGCTCGTACTCCTGCAAGTGGAAGGGAGGATGCAGAGCATGGGCCCCCCCAAACCCAGCGCCCTTCTCCCGCCCGCCCTTGAGCTGCTCCCTGCCGCTGGCCGAAATCCGGACCCGGCTCCAGCCGAGCGGATCGGATCGGGCCCCCTTGACCGGGGTGGGTGCCGCGGGGCTCAGCACCGGGCACAGGAAGGGCCCAGAGCGCCACGGCGCCGAGCTGAGCCCGAGCCTGAGCCGGGGGCGAGGGGGGTACTCACAAAGACCCGCAGGTGCCGGGCGCACACCAAGCCGATGGCGCCGTTCTTCTCCGGTCCGCACACCACCAGCACCGTGGGCTGCTTCCTGGGCAGCGCGGCCAGGGGGAAGGCCTGCGAGCAGACAGAGGGGTCAGGGGCTCCTGTTTGCACATGCGTGTGCTCCGGTCCACTCGGCGAGACCCTGCCAGGCCCCCCTGGGCTCTTCATCCGAAGAGCTGCTCAGTCTGCACGGGGAACCGTGTCCCCTTCTGCAGTGAAGGTGGCCGTGGCTCAGCACCCTGCAGTCTGGGACGGGACGTGGCGCGACGGGGCTGGGGCCGGGGCATCCCCCCCACCCCCGTGACACCCTGCTGCTCCTGTGCGCTACGGCCGCGGAGGCCCCGGGGCTCGAGGCTGCTCGGCGCCAGCTGCAAGGCAGCGACCTGGGAGACCGGCGCCCTGGGAAGCTGCCCCCGTGCACCACCACAGGG